ATATATGATTATATAATTAATCTATGATTTCTTTTGTGTGATGTAAATTTAATGGTCAACATGAGTTCATACAGGGAATAAACATCTCAATATTCACAAATTAATAAAAAAAATGAAAGTTAATAATGTAGTATCCTCATTTCTTATTGGATTCCTAAAAAACAACATTTATAATGAATAATTTTTTCGAATTTTTTTGAAGCTTTAATCCGACCGATTCAATCGATTCCCAATCCAGATCGCCTATTCATCGAGCCGGATCGATTTTTGAGGTTCCCGATCTAAGTCACCACTCACTCGGCTTTTTAAACCATTGGTACAAATGGAAACCAATAATGAAAACACTTATCATGGTAGGAGAGAAGGGGACGGCCTCCCCCTTTTAGTCACAAAGAGTACAAACAGTAACCAATAATGAAAACACTTATCATGGTAGAGAGAATGCAAAGGAGAGAAGGGGATGGCCGACGAATTGTAATCTTTCGAGAAAACCTTTCCCACCCATCACAAAAGCTCAGACGGGACTAAACTTTGTAGAGGGAGAGAAATTTGTCAAGACTTTTCAGGCTTGCACCTTTTCTACTTCTCTATCTCATCATTGTTCTCGTCCCCACTAGGCTCTCCCGAACCCTTATATATTGTAGCTTGCTATTTTTTCTAAACTTTTCTCTCTAAACCCCTCTCTCCTTTTCTCAAAATCTATCAGTAAAATGGACATGAGGACTGGGCATATCTTTCCTGATCTTTCTCTACAGATCAGCCCACCATCTCAGTTGGACGCCATTGAAGAAGCTACATATAACCATATTCCAACCACTAATTCATGCACCAGTGACCATTACTAATGCACCATTGCTTGCTTGGTGATGAATATGGTAAATGATAAGGTCTTTGAGTTTTTTTTGGACGAAGGCCAAACGCTTCTTTTCCCTCTCTTGATTCTTTTAATAGAGACACCGTGACCTGGATCTCACCGCCATTTATAAGCTTTAGGGAGGGTTTGATGCAAACTTGAAGATGAAAAAGCGTGTAGTGCCTTACGTGTTGATCCTAAAAAGGTGCAATAGAGAGAATAGGAAGGGTGGGGAGAGAGAACAAAGGTCAAAAAAGTTTAAAAAACTCACATCAAAACGAAAAAGTTTATATAAAGATGCAACCATATAATGATGCACATCAAAAACCCATCAAAAAAATGTAATTTTAATGTTAAAAAACTTTTTTGATGATCGATGTATGACCATGAAAAATAAAAAGATTTTAAATCTCATAAATAATGTATTTTACAACATATTATCCGCACCGTCCATTTTCAAGATTTTCATATATTTATAGATTTACTTGATTTTACCCATTTTTGAAATTTAATATTTTATAATTAGATATAGAAATAGATTTGAAAATAATTCTAAAAATATTTTACATCAAAATTATATACCATAATAAAATTTAAAGGTGCACCTTGCCTCTGGATGCATCGTATGCCAACTGCACCTCTATCTAAATACTTAAGATCATTCCCCTATAAAATAATTTCTATTTATCTTTTCAAAATAATTTCTACCTATCTTAAAAGATAAGCTATAGACACCTCAGCCTTGCTAAAATTCATGCTCTACCTACCTTCTCTCGACACACTTCCTATTTTTTAAATTAAAAAAGGTATAAAATAAAATTTAAATAGCCTTGATTTTTTTTTACATTAAAATCTCATCCTACACAAAGACACACGTGCAAAATAAGATGGTGTAATTGTCTTGATGGATGTTTTTTTGTCTGAGGGATTTGAGTGCCATCAAGATACTAACTTTCACGGAAGCTCAGTATTTACGGAACGTCGGTGCCTACCCTAAAAAGAAAAAATATCTTTTTGAATCGATATTTCGCGGCTGAATTTTAGCTTGTAGACTGAAAATATCAAAGCCAAAATGATTAAGAAAAGATAATTCTCGTACTCACTCCTTTTCGAAGGGGTATACCTTGTTTTGGTACTGAATCCAGTAGCAACTTCGATTTATATTTTTAGGGGACGGGACCTTCTTATAAGACTGTAGTGTTGCCTGTGCTTTGGTTGTGACTACCCATTTTGACAGGTCAAAGGTTTGAGGGGCGGTTTTATCGGTGTCAGTCACGGTGACAGTCGCGCTAATCACCCCTTTTTGCTGGTTGACTTGATTATTGGAGCGATAATTTCCATTGCCCCGACCATTTCTCGATCTAGAGGGCTGCTGACGAGATCCACCATGGTGCTTGGACAGACCTCCTATACGAACTGCTTTAGAGATGAGCTCTGACATGGAGGGTGGATTGGAGGCCTCAACATGCAGGGCAATTTCGGGCGGCATATTTCATATGCAGGTCTAAACTACTTCTTTTTCAGTCATGAGAGTGGCATGATAGGTTGCCAGCTCTCTCCATCAGGCGATGAACTTATCGAATGGCTCTTGAGTTAGAGTGAGGAGTTCGATGGCTTCCACGTTTATCTAGACTTTATAGAAATGCTGGTAAAACATGAAGTATATTGTCTATTTACTCCCCTCCCACATAATAGTAATTTGAGGGCCTCAAATTTTAGAGATGCAACCTATTCAACCAATAGATTAATGTCAATAAAAAAAAAAACTAATTTGTACCTTCTCTAGTGAAAAAAATAATGTTTCAAGATTGAATAGACACCATGGTTAAAAATAAATTTTTTTAATAGAGACCATCCACTATTAGATGGTGAGTTTTAAATATTAGAAAACTCAAATTTCAATTGTTTTTTTTTAGAATAATCCGCGAGGATTCCTTAAGTGATTTCTAAAATTGAAAAAATAATCCCAATTAGGTATTTTGTTTGTCGGAGTAGAAGCATACTATACTCCATGAGGAGCATAGTAAAAAAAACCTTGACAACCTCAATGATTAAAATGACCTTTCTCATGCTTATCCACATTAAGTAAACTAAATTTCCTTGGATAGATGTTTAATCCTTTCATCTAGGTGTGGTTTGTATAGGGCTGAGGCTCTAAACAATCAAAGTAAAGCCTACCTTCAAATAATATTGAGAATTGTGGTTTCAATATATTTGTGATAGCCTTAAAATCTATTTTCGTTTTTAATTATAAAATTTAAAGCTTCAAAAATAATGTAGATTGAGCAGGCCTATTAAAACTTGAAAATATTTAAAATTGACAGTAAAAAATACGTTACAAGATGCACTATTTTTAAAACTTGAAATCTATTTTTTCCTTGTGTCCATGCATCTTGATGCCAAGATGATCAATTTGAAGATATTTGAGCATCAAAATAACCTCTTCTAACAAAATTTTTGAGATAGGCTTTAATTTGATTGTTTAGAGCCTCAACGGTAATGTCAACCTAGTTTCTAGATACTTTGCGTAGATATCTATAAAAGGGCATTATAGTCATATTAATATCACAAAAGAAAAGACTTAACTAAGCTTGATATTTTCGAAAGACACGAGGGTGGTTCAGTCATTTTCCTCATAAAAAAGCCGCCGATAGGCGATAAGGCACTCTACTATTTTTTTATTCCTTTATTTATTTTTAATGTCCATTTACGAACAAGAAAGGACGGTAAATAATTATCACAACTTTTCCCTTGAACACATATCGACCGTCCGATGGTAAAGACCAGGGTTGCGTGCATAAGCAAACAAAGCGCACCCATCAGACGACAGAGAGAAAAGTAGCGGGGCCCACCGAGCCTTATCCCGTTAATGAAAGCAAACCAGCTACCGAGCCTATGAAAGAACCGACGGAGGACACGCGGCAAACAAGACCGTGGCTCGGAGTCAGGTTCGGTTTCCGTCGGTTTACCTGCCGTTTGTTCTCGACGCTCCTTAGTACTGTTTTCAGGGAGCGCAGGTTTCTCTTTGGGTCACTGATGGTGATGGTGATGGTGATTGTGATGATGATGGTCATGGCATGCTTATGGTGATCATGGTGGTGATGGTGGTGGTGATGATGAATTGATGGATGGTATGTGATTTTTATTTATGAATTCACGGTTTAGTGTGGTGCTTTTCTTTTGGTTGTTGATGGATAGACATGCTCTGAAGTTGTTGGGGTTTTCTTTTGTCATTTATGGTTTTTAGTTTCTCTCTCTTTTTTGGCCGGTGTCTAGTCGTTTCTGGTTTCCATACTCCCTTGTTTTTTATTGATTCAGTCACTTCTGCTCTCTCTTCTCTCTAGTCATTTTTGCTCTCTCTCTCAGCTATATTCACAATCTAAGAGGTTCATATTCCTCTCTCTATGTTAACTAGTAAATTTTCATTTCTCTCTATTTTAGATGGTCTTCCAGTGTTTTCCTTGAGCTGATCGGCCCGCTGCTGACGTGAACAAAGAATTTCAAAGTGTTTTGAGAATTCTCACCAAAAAAATGTAAAGTACTGATTTTTGTAATTTCTCCTTGATCACAGACTGTCTGAAACTCTGAACAATTTGTTTTTGGTGTTTTTTAGAATTGTCTTTTTTTCGTCGATTTGCACTTGCATTTGGGTTATTGACTGTCCATTTTTGTTTTTTCATAGGATGGGGAAAGAGGAAAAACCATTTTCTTTGTGCTGCTGTTTTGCTTCTTCAGATGCTTCACTAAATATAATTTTCATTTGTATTTTGTTTTTGTTGTTGAATTTAGTTAATGATCTGGATGAAGGGGTTTTTATTTTATATTTTGTGGATTTTTCTTGTAACTTTTCTACTTTTCTTTTTTGATAAGGGAAGTGTTTATGATATCAATTAAGTGTGAAATCACTTTCTTCCTGTGGTTTTTTTTTGTTTTCATTCATTATTAATTATTATTTTGTCACTCTAGTCTTGTTCTGTGAGTGTTGATGAAGTTGGGCACTTCGTCTGGTAGTAATTGTATGTTACATTTAAGACATGGGTCACACCCAATTTGTGGTTATGATCTTTAATTATTATATCTTCTGATTGAAATTGTCTGTTACTTTTACCACATGGGTCGCTCCTAATATGTGTTTCCTCTGTGATCTTTAAAGAGTATTTTGTGCCCGCCTTTTCTCCGTTTCTTTCTTCGTGCAGCAAATCGGCAGGAAAATTATTCAGAGGGCTCTGTTCTATTCTCATCCCCATTTCTGTAATCATGGAATTCTGTTTTTTATTTTTGGGGAACTTTTTACCTGACCTAGAACTCTGGCCGTTATGGAGATGCCTTTCATTCACTTGTTCCATGTACCTGGTGTTCTCGTACTTGTCTTTTTCATTATCTTTTCCCTTTCCTTTCTTCTGTATTCTGCTTTTATGAAAGCCACGCATTTGTTTCTGTCTGTATAAATCTTCATATGCAACTGGATGGAATCATATGTGAATGATATAAAAGAAATGTTCATCTTTTACTTCCATCATCCATGTAATTAACAAATTCCACTTTTTATATTTGTTTTTTTTAATTTTTAATCAACTTGTGGGATCTCTTCTTGTTGTTACTTTCAAATGTAGGAAAGGAAGTATAATGTTGGTCTCAAGTCTTTTTTGGTTTTTTGTGTAAAGTGAAGATAAATATGCATTAATTTGCTTTTCAAGATGCAGTGATGCATAGTGGCATTCGTTTGGTGGTCCTACCTTAACATAAACTTTTAGTGAGAGAGGTGAGCTTAATGGGAAGTGCTTGTTCAAGGAAGAGAGACCAATTGGTAAATGAAGATGACATACGGAGAGGGATCTCCGGAAAATTTTCCAAAAATCTCAGCTCAAGATGGTTGGGAAGCTCAATGAATCGGACGAGTATTGATATACATCAAGAAATAGGCAAAGTTCCTTCTCTCATGGAACTTTGCATTCGTAAAATTTGTGAGGTAATGGTGTTTTCTTTTGAATCATTTGATGGATTGCAGGAAAGGGATAATTGCCAATTTTGAATTAAAAACACTTAAAAATACTAAAATGAAAGTTGAGGAAAATCATTGTTTTCTATCCAGACTTTTTTTTTTTGGGTAAACATTTTCCTATCCAGGCTTTAATGATCCAACTGATCTTTTTACAGGAAATAAAGGGGTACAAAAGCTTTTCCATCCTCCCAAGGGATTTAAGTCAGCAGATTTTCAATGAGTTGGTGAATTCTCAGGGTCTCAACGATGTTTCACTTGAGGCATTCCAAGATTGTGCTCTTCAAGTAATGTAAAACTGCATAGCTTTACGGTTTAAAATTGAAAACTTGAACTGTCCCATTTCCTACCCTTTTGAATGGTTGATGCGTATATTACCTTTTGATATCACGTTTTAATATGTTATAGATAAAACAAGACAGATGACATACCAACATGAAAGAATTGTGTTTTAATGTCTTAATATATTTTCCCAGGACGTTTTCTTGGGCGATTACCCTGGAGTAAAAGACAGCTGGATAAGAACTATTGCATCTCAGGGGCCATCTTTGTTATCTGTGGATATTTCTGGTTCAGATGTAACAGATTCTGGACTCTCCCTCCTAATGGAGTGCGTGAATCTACAAAGCCTGAATTGTAATTATTGTGATCACATATCAGACCTGGGACTGGCCTATTTGTCTGGTATATAATACTCCTTTTGTCTTTAATTCCCAAGTCTTTTTCTCATGGGTAATTTGTTTTGATACTCTGTGCGTGTGTGTGTGTGTGTTGGTAATTGTGTTTCTTAGACACTTATCTTGAACTTCTTTATTTGACTAAGGTCCATGTCTTTCAGTTCACATGTTGAGTAAGCAAGAAACATGACATGCATTTCTTTCTTTTTTGCTAATATTGTTGCTCAGATGATTGAGCTACAACTTGACCACATTTCAGTTCTTTAAGTTTCTTATTTGGGAAATTTCTCAAAATACAATTATAATGTCTACTGTTTAAAATTTTACCTTTTTTTGACGGTTCCAACTATTGATCATGGGTCTTTTGATGGGCTTTTTGAAATTAAATCAAAAGAATGGGGTAAAGTGTTAAATAACTCATCTCGTCAGTTTATTTTGATAAATTTCGTATCTTATTTTGATGATATCACATTTTGGCTTTTTATACCATAGATTTAGTCTTTGTGAACCATGCCAAGTCCAATCTTACAACTACTTATGACAAGATTAAGAATGTTGAATCCATGCCTCACTTGTTTGTCACAATCTTTTTTAATCTGGTGAGCTAGGAATGCAAGCAAACTAATAATTGAGCTGAAAGAGTTGCACTGCCTCAGCTATGTGTTAGTGTTGGCATTATATGATGATGATTATTAAGAGAGAAGATTATCATTTTATTTATTTTTATTGTTTTCGGTATCTCATGTTGCTCTTCCTTACGCTCTAATACAAAAAAAATCATTCATTTACTCATTTACTATCTTTCGCTGTGTCACCAAGATTTTGTTAGTGATTATTTTGTATGTTGGAGGAACTATTAGTCTTTTATTTACACATGGTTTGCAACTGTATATTGATAACATTATCAGAACTGACAGAGTGACAGTGTGAGATTTATCCTTCATTGTGGGTCTTTCTTTCTCTGGTGTCAATGGAAAATCCAGTCTTGCGACCTTTTCTTCTCCAGGGCATTTTGGACATGCAGCGTCTTCTTGCCTGACATTCGCTGTTACATGAAATGTGCTTGTTTTTTGCCAAAATAACTCTCTTTCACCATGTCAACCTTAAACCAAGTCATAATCTCCCCATCATCTGGTCTCCATTGTAGGTTTTTTGTTTCTTCCTCTAATACCCTCCCTCTACTTCAACACACCCGCAACACCCTTCCCTTCCTTTTTGCCCCTCTCTTCTCTCATCTTGTCACCCCTCTCTTCTCTCATCTTGTCACCCCTCTCTTTCTTATTCATCTCTCTAGAGAATGATAAAGAAGAAAAAGGATAATGTGAGACAGAAAAAAGAATGTGAATCGGAAAAATGAGGTGAGAAACCAGCAAATATTACTCCCTGTTGGGTCTTGCATGCACGAGAAAATCTTTGACTTGGGAAGGCCACTAAAATAAGATGACCTTGGTTCTTAGGGTTTTCTTAAACTACCCTTTTAATTCAGTGTCTGGTCTGGTGTCTAGCAGACGTCAATCCTGTACTTTTTCCAGACGAGTTATAGTATTTTACATACATAAGGATAGCTTATTCTATATATTATCTATTTGTCTTCAATATTTACTAATCTTTTCAGGTCTTACAAACCTAACATCTTTAAGTTTCAAAAAGAACAACTCCATAACTGCACCTGGAATGGAGGCGTTTGCCGCATTGATTAACTTGAGGAACTTAGATCTTGAAAGATGTTCGAGGATTCATGGTGGTCTTGTTCATCTCAAAGGTTCGTTATAACCAGAAATGCTCTTGGCAATAATGATTTCTTCATTCTTATTATGAGCTTGTCTTTTCTGGGCCTTGAGGAAGCATATAGATGTGCATGTACCCCTTGGGTATATGGATAAGAAACTTAAATTTTCTCATGCTTGCTGTGTGCCTGTGATTTCATGTGGAATGTTGATGCTGTAATTCTATATCTTATGTTGTAGTTCTGCTCTCATAAAGCTTTGCTGTATTCTTTTGAGTACTCTCGGAGTTTTCAGTTGAATATGTCTCATGATGCTTATGATTCAATCTAATCTGGCATAAATTTCATATATGTTTGAGACATATACCAGCTAAAATATTGTGAAGGGAAGCGGTATGAATGGATTGCCTATTTGATTGGAAGTTAAATAGTGGATTTCTCCCCATGCTTTTCTTTTTAGTCTCAATGTGTCCATCCTGCTTTGTAATTGATAACAGTGCATATGGGAAGTTCTGAGCGTAGTCCTTTTTTTTATTTCTCAATCAGTAATGGAAACTTGTGTAAAGTTTACATATGTTTAGTCGCTTGCTAGCAGGATTGATTATACATTGTCTGCTTCCTGTTAATGCTCCCAAACCTCACGATATCTGCTTCCTGTCACAAACTTCCATTAAAACTTAACTCTATCCCTCTAATGCGGGAAACTGTACCCAATGTGTCTTTAGTGGAAGCAAGATCAGTGCTGTTCAGTCTTGACCCCATATATAAAAGATGCAGAAAAGCTGAGTTTTAATTCTTATACTAACTCTTTGCTATTTATCAACTTAGTAATCTTGCACAAGATCATAGGAGCAATAGTGTTTATACAAGGGCCTCCCTAGTGCCTTGTTGGTTCCAACTGAGGCTGAAGCCCATGATGTGGCACTCTGATGAACTATTGCTGACATCATGTCTAACTCCAATATTGGAGACAGTATTCCATTGAGTCGGAGTTGCTCAGCATTTCTGCGGATACGTTTCTGTGGTATCATGCAGATCAATTTAGCCTCTTTTACAGTCTGTCGATATTTTTTTCTGGGTTTTATTTACCTGCACTTGGATCTGTCCTGTTATTTGGTTAACTGGCCTCTTGCTTGTTATGAATAGGTTGGACATGCATTTTATCTGGTTAGTTGGGATCTGCTGAACATGTTCTAACGGTTATTTTTGTTGATCCAATCCTTTTGACAGGTTTAACAAGACTTGAATATCTTAATATTGGGTGGTGTAACTGTATAACAAATGCAGATATGATGCCTCTCTCAGGTCCACTTATTTCTGTTTCTCATTTTTAGGAGGAAAAATTTGATTTCTCTTAATAAATTTGTGTAAATGTGGTAAGTTATGTCTTAAATATGGATGCCGTGATATGAGATAAAGTGTTATCCATTCTTTGGATTAATATGGGACACCTTTCCTGTTTGGAAGTCTTAATACAAATATCGAATGTCGCATTTGTTTTCACATTTCCCAATGCATTTTTTGTGCTCCTGTGACAGATTATCTGCCACGAGCTACATGTGATTGCATTCTGGAAGTTGCAGACCATACATGACATGTGTCCTTTATCTAAATTGAGTATTAGACTGCACCATTTATTGCTGAATTTAATGTTCCAATAAAATGGAAATAGTTGTCCAGGCGACTGCACCATTTACCAACGCATTTTTTGTGCTCTTGTGACAGATTATCTGCCACGAGCTACATGTGATTGCATTCTGGAAGTTGCAGACCATACATGACATGTGTCCTTTATCTAAATTGAGTATTAGACTGCACCATTTATTGCTGAATTTAATGTTCCAATAAAATGGAAATAGTTGCCAGGCGGCTGCCTAGTGACTCGGCGGACACTGTAGAAAAGATAAAAAAAGGGATTAGGGGTTTCATAAATTTATGAATTTGAATCATATATACGTATCATACATATATATATATATATATTTATTTATTTATTTATATAAGATGAGCGTACTTAGATTTAGCTTCAATAAGCAGTAATATGAGGGAAACCAAACTTCTGTGTACTGGCCATGTACAATGTAGACCTAATGCAACACTGGCTAGAAGGTGCGATTTGGTTCAAGTGGAAGACTCTAAAAGGGCAAGGGGAAGGCCCAAGAGAACATTGATAGAAGTAGTGGGAAGAGATATGGTGACTTTTGGTCTTGCTAAGTGTATGGCCCTTGATGGAGAAGAATGGAGGTACAATATTCATGTAGCTGACCCCAAATAATTGGGATAAGGCTTGGGGGATGGCGATGATATATATGTCTATGTGTCTATACATATTATGAATTTAGCCAAATAAAGTCGAGCATAGCTAAATATATATTATAAATTTGTTACTTTGCATTATAAATTATAGATATAGTCATACATAAGAGTAGTATTTTCAAACATAACCATAAATATAGCCATAAATATAGTATAATCACAAACAATTAGCAAACTAAGGGGAAAAGCAAACCACTTATGACGTTTCATTATAAGTATAAAGTCAAACTTCAAAAATGATACATGAAAATAAAAAAAATAAAAAAAGGGTAAGTGAAAAGTGGTTAGTCAGTGACGATTTGGGCCGCTACCCTTTGGTGAGAATGGAGTCTCACAATAAATATGAAACCCTAAACATAAACCAATGTTGAAAAAAATGGAGGCGGGTGCTTAGCTGGCCAGATGAAAGAAATATGTACAACATGTTTTTATTTTTTTCACACAAATTCGTTGTTTCGTAATATGAACCCATATATTGCACTAATCCGTAATGAGATTTCTTATAATATTTTGTGGAGTTAGCCAAATTTCTTAATTTTCTTATAATTAATCCCTCATCCAACCAAAACATGCGATTAACCCTAATTTGTGAGGTTTTTTTTTTTTTGATAAACTAATTTGTGAGGGTCCTTGCACATTTTGTAGCTCGTATCATCGAGACTGGTCCTTTTATCATCACCAATCATTTCAAACTCACGTTTAAAGAATAAAAGAAGCTATCTTTTTGAAATAATCAATGGAAATCACAAATCAATTCCTCAAATTAACCGTTTCTTGCTCCCAATTAACCATCAGTTTCCATTAGATCAGCCAAGAATCAATGATATAATCCACATTTTGTACCACATCATCGAGACTATCCTTTTATCATCAACAATAATTTCAAAATCACGTTTAAACAATAAAAGAAGTCATCTTTTTGAAATAATCAATGGAAATCACAAATCAATTCTTCAAATTAACCATTAATTGTTCCCATTTGACCATCATTTACCACTAGAGCAGCGAAGAATCAATGGTACAATTCCAAAACCGGTAAGCCCCCTTAATAAGTTTATTAAAGGGGGCATACGCTTTTTTGGGGTTTGGTGGGTAGTGTTTTAAAATGAGGGATGCACCTTGATGCGGGTGCATCACCTCGATGTGGTCAATAAATATAAAAAAATGCTAAAAAATCTAAAAAAAATTGTCTATTGCATAGGAAAAAAAAATAGAGGTGATTTATGTGACAACAAATATTTAATTTATTCATTAACTCCAAAAGTATCAGTTGTCAGAGATTCAATATCCACTATCCCTTGATTGATAATAGAAGAAATTAGAAAGTAGAAACTAGAAACTAGAAACTAACTTCATAAAACATTCAACAACCATAATCACAAACTAAAAACTAACTTCATAAAACATTCTAAAAGTCCGTGAACATTGAAGAGTTCAAAAGTCAAGACAAATCATCATCATTTCTCAAGTCTTGAGATTCTAAATTACAGATCTTAATCAAATAAGTTATCTTGAGAGTCTCCATGTGCATCACTATCATCACTACTATCCTCGACAACCTCCACATATTGTTCTTCTTCCTCGGTCTCCTTTGAGTCAGCCTCCTCCTCCTCCTTGACCTTTGGAGCTGATGTGTGACTAGCTACTCTACTCTTTTGTGCTCTAGTGTTAGGTCGTTCTACTTCATTGGCCCCTATGGCTAGCACGACATCAAGCCAAGTAAGATCCTCACCCTCAAACACATGCTCTACTCGTGGATCCATGGTTCACTCACTTCTGCAATCACCATTAGGTTCATACAATCGAATTGGGTTGAGATCCATGCGCTTTTGATACCGCTCCCTAAGCCGCTCGTTATGCTACACATAAACCAAATCATTTAACTTCTTCTGCTCCAACCTATTTCTTTTTTTGTATGGAGTTGTGGTACAAAACAAGGAAAAAAGTAAAAGTAACATATGTTTTTTTTTTTTTGGGTAATTCAGTGGGGAAGACAGGCCTCTACCTGTTTTTTCATCAGATTGGGAGTTACATTTTGAAAGTGTTAATTGGGGGTGTCAAAGGTAGGAATGGATGCCACGATGTGGTAACTGGGTGTGGGGATGCTACCACCACGACCCTAGCTCCTTCCTAAAGTAACAAATGTTATTTTCTTGTTTCTACTTTTATATTTCTTAGATAAGTTAGATTTTAGAAAATTGAAATTTGAAATCCAAGAAATAAGTATTAAGGACTTACATGCTCAAATGCACTCCAATTGCGTTCGCAACCAGATGAGCTGCATGTGAGACTCAACACTCGAATAGCGAGATGTTGTAGATTTGATGTCTTGCTTCCATGTAATGCCCACCATGCAGCTATATAACATTTTATAATTTAGATAAATATTTAATTATTATATAAATGAAACTATACATTATAAGTAAAAAACTGTACAACAAAAAATAGAAATTAGAAAGGATACTTTTGGCCTTTACCTGAATCTATAGTGTCCTTGTTTCGAATAGCAATCTCTCTCCAAAAGTTTTCCAATTGCTATCTTGAACTCCAAAAGTTTCCTAATGCTAACTTGAACTTCATCAATTTTTGACTTTGGATCTCATCTTGGATATCTTTGTTAGGGACCAACCTCTTGAGCACATCTAAGAACCCACCATTTATTATATGATTAGACTCAATGGATGGGTGCTTGTAGTGAAGAGTGGATTTAGAAAGTAACTGTCTGAATGGACGTGCCTGTGAAGCTGGTTATCCCATCTCCCTATCAATAATTTCACATCTAGCCTTGCATTTCTTTTCATCATCCTTTAAAACATCTTTTATCGCTCCTCTTTTCTAGTCGTGTCCTCATGTAAGTAGCCCATGATGGGCTTCACTTCCACATCAACCAATCGAAGCACTCACACTAAAGGGCTAGCCACCTCTAATGCATCATATACCTAATCCCAAAAAGATGTATTGAGAATAATTTGTTCAGCCTTTCTCCCATTTGATGCTTTGACCACTTACTTTTACTCCATTGCTCTGAAGCAAACACGGTCCTCAAGGCATATTTTTGCTTGCATAGGCTTTGAAGAGTGAGAAATGATGTTTCTCACCATATCTCTTTTCTTTGTAAAACTCCTTATCATGTTAGGGACTATGGTGTGATTATAAATCAATCCAACAACAAACAGAGCTTTTGAAATCACCTTACTAAATGTAGACGTTGTACCCATTTCTTTAACCATGAGATTAACGTAATGAGCTGCTCAAGGAGTCCAAAACATATGCTTCCTCTTCAAAGTAAAAAAATGGCCAGCTGCAGCCTAATTGGCACATAACACATGTTTCTCTCCAACAAATTTTACAATCTCATCCATCAAGTCACATAAGTATGTAGCATCATGTGACTTGTCTAACTCATCAACAACTTAACAAAAAAAGTACTTGTTGGAAAATTAGCGAAAAACTTAATAAATACTGTTGACTTCCCATCAGACTATCCATCACCCATAATAGTTGCCCCATACTTCTCCCACCCCTCTCTTTGAGCAATCAAAATTTTGTTAACATCAGATACAACATGCTTCAATAAGGGCTTCCCAATCTCTTCTAAAAAAAGGGCTCCCTAATCTCATGTAATGTAGGAGGATTAAGTCTTGAGCCAAATTGCCCAATTGCCTGGACCATCCATGCAAAACTATCGAGGGTTATATTATTAAAAGGAATGCTGGCCATGTAAAACCACTTAACAATGTAGTTACATACCTTCTTCCTCTCTTTTTTCTTATATTGATTTTCAATTGTGGTTTGTTTTGTTTTTTTTCTCTTCTCCTGAACCACAATTTCGGGGGGTGCAAAAAGTATTAATTGGCCCTTTAGGGAGTGGTGTTTGTTATCCAACACTACCACCAATATTTATAACCCTCTCTCTTGACCTTGGAGTACCCCTTTGCCTCATACCAACTTCTAACATCTACTCATCATCAAATGATTGAATTTCATCAATTAATTCTTTTCGTTTCATTCTTTTCTTTGCTTTTGTTTTTTTTAAGCTATCCATGTATTCTCTAATCGCCTTTTTGATATCTTCGGTAGCTTGTGGGCATGCTCTTACATTCCCTGCTAAGTGTTCTTTTTGCCGAAAAAAACCCTCCATATAAGTTTTTCCACAAAGTCTACAAATAACACAATTTTGGTCTTTCAGATTTTTAGTTTTGCATATTTCCATGCCACGTCCTTGTTACTAGAAGATTGTGAAGAAGACACTGCCCCCAAAAAAAGTAGTCGTGTACTAGGAAATAAAAGCTTATCAATTACTAGAAAAAAATATCGATTGCTTCTCGGCCCTTGAAACCCTTGATTTGTTGTCAAAACTTTGCTAAAACTTCCTCGAATCAACACCTAAAATAAACAAATCAACGGCCAAAAATCGTCCAAGACAAAAATCCAAGAATTTCGAAAAATAAAATTTTTGCCACTTTTTTTTTTTATCGTTTTGATCTCCTAAAGGCCATGGATGCGGCCGCATTCCACCAAAGCGCGTATGCGGTGTCGGGCGATGCAGTTGCCAGTGCATCTCGCATGATGCGGCCGCATATGTGGCAATGCAGCTGCATTTTAAAGCACTTTCCCTTCCAAAACACCCCTTTTCCCCCCTTTTTAAGTGGAAAAAAAATGCTTTTATGCCATTGTCTGAAGGCTTTTTCTTGCCCTCGGTCAATTTGGTCCAAGTCGCTGCCTTGAGGAGACTGCCTAGGTGGCGCCTTGGCAGCCTAGGCATGCATTTAGAAGCCGCCTAGGTCCCGCCTGGGCATTTCGGCTTTGGCGGCTGGGCAACCAAAATTTTGAGCATTGATATAGACAATTGAATTTACTAATCTTTCTAAAAGCATTAGAAGTAGGGGTGATTAGGTTGTCAAAGCTCTATTTTGCAACCTCTTTAATCCCGAAAAAGTTTCCAATGGAATGCCTTTTGATTCCACAAGAAATAAAAGATTTTCGGTTGTGACCCTTAAAAGTTATTGATTTTGAAATTTTTTTTTTTTTTTTTGGGGGTTGTTTAGGTTTTGGCGGCGAAAATGTCCCTTAAATACAATTTCCCCACTTTTCAAGTGGGGGAAAAGGCATTTTTGACCTTTTGGCGAGGCCCTTTGCCAAAAGGGCCCTGGGCGCACGCCTAGGCGGGGCCCTCGGCGATTAGTCACGCAATGGGCCGTATTGTCCTAGTGCGTGGCGGTGAGGCCTTCTAGCCACCTGGGCGGCCTACCCAAGCGGCTGAGTGGCCGACTTAGCAAGTGTTCATGTTATCATTATTACTGTTGGAAGGTTGGTGCTGCATCATTATTTATGCGCATTAGTGTATATTGAAACCTGATCTCTACTTTCTCTTTGATGGTATATAATTTCAAGAACTTCACATTTTATAGAACATATACCCAACTGATTCTTTTCCTACCTTCTAGCCTCTTTTTGGGCATCCACTCCATTCCATAAAATTCTTCTCGCTTTTCAATCAAAATTGCTCCTTGTAAACCTTGAGCGGTTATATTTAATTTCTGATATCTTAGGTTCAACGATTTTTTTTTGCTACCAAAATACAAGGATTACTCAATAGCATAGTTACTGGGATCTTCTAAGGTGGGGGTTGCTCCATTCCAGAAGCTCAATCCCTTGCTCTGAAGACACATGATGTCGATTCTTGGCTTTTCCTTGATTTATAGGGATCTCAATCTGGGAAATCAAGGAACTAGATCCTAGGTTAATGGGATCCACATTGCTACGCCTAAAATTATGGTTCCATGAGCAACGGAATTGCGATTCCACAAGCTTGGAATTAAGTATCTTCTACTTTGGGAGCGAGTTTCACCAACACATTTTCAGTTTCATAAACGACGGAGCATGGATCTGCAATTTTTTATGACCTACAAACTTTGTAAAGGTCCTGATTTCCTATATATTTTACAGTTTACCTTGTGAATCAAGACTTGTGATTAGTTTTGAAAAAGGCAATAAGAGAGGACAGAGAGAAAGAAGGAAGAAGATGGAAGGAGATACAAAAGGTAGTTGAGTTTCGATTCTAATCGAGGAGTGAGATCGCAATCAGTAGGATTAACGTCCTTGGGGCTAGTTCATTGGGTCCTGTCCACCTCCCGAAGGTCTTCTATTGCATGAGTGTTGGTCTCCCAATTTGAGCTACTCATGGGATCTCTTTATGGTTGATAGAGTAACATATATGCTTGGAAATGGGAGGTCTCTCGTCTATATGCCCTTGAGCCCCAAGCAATCTTTGATGGAGGAGAGTTATTGATTATATATTGCGTTGTCTTTCCTTTTTTTTTCCTTCAAACAAAGGCTTATCAATCGCAACAGTTTTCTTGAAAACAGTCCATTTCAACATTCTTAAATATAATCATCAATCGATAGTTGAGGGGAAATCATCCAATCCAACCAATTGGTGCGTATGTAGGCAGACCAATGTAGGTAGGTGTGCAATTTTTGTAGTGGACCAAAATGAGTAATTTTTGGAGTGAAACTTGCTTAAATAATTGTTCAGTTGAATTTGTTCCCAACCTAGAATACCGTGGATAAGTGATCTTTAGGAGCCTCGATCCTAATCTCGATGGAGCGCGATCCCATTCAGTTTATCGCTCCTGTGCATTAATGGAACATGCTCCCTTAATGCTAGGGATTTTGATCCCTTTACCTCATGATGTACGAAACTTGTTCCCTCAACTATGGATCTTTGAGCCTCCCTCGCTTCCACATTCTTGCTTCTGAAACGGCACTCCCCTCGCTCCCATTCCTGGTAACTATGCTCAATAGTTCCTATGAGGAGATAGCTGTGTCTTTTGCTCTTAAGAGAAGCCTATATCAAACTTTTAATGCTTTCTTAAGACCTCTTTCATCTATTGTCTCTCTCAAAGGGTTGTGGTTGGAAATGGCAGAAAGTCAAGCCACAACCAGCTATCCTGTGATAGTCTGGTCTTTTTCCTTCTTTAGTTTCTGCATGCGATTTTGTGGCATTCAGAACCCTTTCAACAAGCCCTTTACCTTTTCAAGCTGTGTTTTGCAAGTATTCATTATCTCTATGCTGGAAATGGGATGCTTCTCTTCCATGATTCCTATTCTGATTAATTTCTTTGGTTTCCAAACTCTTTTTTATCAGATCTTTTGAAGTAGTAAAATTGGCCTAAATGGGAAGATGTATCCAAGCTTGGGAGATGTATCCAAGCTTACATAGCCCAAAAAAACCTTCACATAACTTTCTTATATATGGCAACTCTTTGTGTTCCTTCCTCTTTCAAACTTTGCATTACTATGCTCTGTTTTCTTACTTTTAGCTCTTCATCCTTACATTTTCTGCATTATATTAAATGGCTTATAGCCTTTTCAAAGGTCCTTGGTCTTCCCAGACAACCTAGATCAATTTCCTTCCACCCATCAGTATCAATTCTTTCCCCCTTTCATTCTTTGGGATATCTTACCGAATAATCTGTTAATTTTCAGGATCTTCTCTTGTATCTTTTAGCTGTCTAACCACATTCTCTCTCTCTCTCTCACACACACACGCAAAAAAATAAGAAACTGCTCACATGCACTCCACTGATTATCAATCATCTCTCCCATCCTTCCAGAGCTGTGATCTCCTGAATGGGCTGATTGTCTTTTGTTTTCTGATATGTTGGGTTGTATTGGTGCAGCGATGTCTGTCTAGGAATGTTGTCAACATTACCTCTCTTAACTAATTATAGGACTAATTGAGCTTCTGCCTAACACAGCCTTTCATAAGGGAGGGAAATAGAGCCTTTGTCATTTCCTTCTTCATGCAATGTCGTCAGAACTTCTCATAAAAGAAAATCATTAATCTATTTCAGTTGAAGCATTGATGAATCGTTTTGGTATTTTCAACATGCCGAATATCCTCTTAATTTACGTCCTTGTTCTCTTTCAGTTGAAGCATTGCCGAATCCTTTTGGCCTTTCAACATACCAAATATCCTCTTAAGTGACCAAATATTCTCTTAAGTTACGTTCTTGTAGGAAATAACACACACACACACACACCTGAAGCATTACTGAATCCTTATGGTATTTTCAATATGCCAGATATCCTCTTAAGTTACATTCGTGTAGGAATTAATGTGTATGCGCACACATTTGTGGTGCATAGGAAAATCGATGCATAATACTTTTCCTTCTAATAGGTCAGTGATTTTCTCTTTTGGCTTTCTCCAGGGCTCACAAACCTGAGGGAATTGCAAATTTCTCGCAGTAAAGTAACTGATGCAGGAATCGCTTGTTTAAGAGGTGATATGCTTTTCATATGATATTCATTTCTTTGTGGATCATTTCTGAACTATGATTTATATGATATTTTTTTATATGTGCTGCATAGCAATTTCTCCTCTTCCCTTGTTGTGGTTCCCTTTTTATACCCTCATAGATTCTATGCTCAGAGAAATTTCCCATTCCAGGGAAGCTTGGGGAGTTGCTTACAAATATTGATGATTATTCGCAAAATATTGTATTCATGGTTAATAAGGGTGTGTAATGAAAATGGGTTTAAGGATTTTTGCTTCCTCAATTGTCCTCGTCATTCTGCTTGTAATTCTCTTAGCTTTTAATGAATTACGCTTATAATTAGTCAGACATGACATGGCAAAAAATTCAAGGCATGACTTTTATGGACCTCCAAGGGGTTTTTATGTGTGATCTATTTGGGGTGACAGTTATCGAAGGACTATGCTCTTCTAAAATTACACTTCCTGCCATCAAATAGAGCTTATCATGCTCTTTCAACTTAGCCTAGTGAAGCTTTTCGTCTGCTTCTGTCAACAATTGTCTTGAGAATCTTTTGTACTCAATGGATTTAGATTATTATTTTTGTCAGAAAGTCACCTGGAACATGCCAAATCCCGATACTTCTTTATGTGCATTGTATTAGTATTAGGTTTGGCAAGACGCGAGTAACAAATAAGAATCTTTACAGGAAAGTAGATATCATGGTGTTAATCAATAAGATGATTAATATTTGTTTCTTTTCCCTGTCATTTCTTCCCATGATTTTCTGTCCATAATAAATCCACGTGAATACGTACATTGTTGTTCACATAGTAATCTAAGGTTGGAGTAATTGGTTTTATTTTTCAAGGGTTCTGGGGAGGTGACTGAATTCCTTTCTTGGATCACTGATTCCTTTTGATTCTGTGTTTGACGAGGCAAGTGTTGCGTATGCAGACTTTGGCTCTGCCTGTTGGACTCCAGGCAATCGGTTAATCATTGAGGATTGTTACCTCAATGCCATTAAGTAGCTAGGAAGGACTTGCCTCCTTGGCATTTGGTTTTGGTTTTTGAAGAAACGTCTGACCTCTTTGTCTCCGAGGATGTGATTTTCCATCATGTCCTGAGGGGTTGCCAATGAGGAGGCAGATAAATTAGCTATTAGTGGTTTGGTTAGATAGTCTTTATTCATCAAGGGCAGGTAGTTTGTCACTGGGTTGTCACCTGGCCATCTTTTTGATTATCTTGTTTCTCTCTTTTTAGGGCCTTCTTTTCATTGAATGTCAGATTAAATCTAGTAACATCTTCATTAGAAAAGATAAAGATTTAGATATTAATAGTCATGCTTTAGACACAGATTTGGTATTTCTGCGGTGGAATGATTTTTCCTAGGGTGTTATACAAGATTGTGAAGAGCCCTTTTTTCTTAATCCAATGCATTGGGGAAAATAAGTAAAAAGCGCCCATTTTGAATGAGCCAAAATGGTACTGGGCACTGTTTTCAAAATAATTGGAAATTCATAATATGGCTCATAGTCTATTGTGGGTACTAAAATCTCAAGTTTCTGTAAAGTTCGTCATTCTTCTGGTGTGTACGTAGGAGTGATATTTGAAGTTTGGAAGCTTTTAGGCCCCTTAGGGTTTTTGGGTTTGCAGCATTTACATTTGTTATCAGTCATGACGTACTCCAAGGTCCTCTTATTGCTTGTTGCATATGAAGCACTCATTTGACAGGATTGGTATCTAGGGTGTGCTTAGGTTCGTAGTGTTACACCTTGGATAAGTGCAATTCAAATGTTTATTTGATGTATGACTAGGATATTCCTCATTTTGGGAGTTTTAGGGGTTTAGTTGTCCCTCTTTATCTTTTTTGATCGATGGGATTTAGCGTTCCATCATCTTAAAAGCAATTGTTGGAATTTGAGGACAAGATGTCCACACCAAAAAGGGGAGATCAGTAATAAGGAGCTCTAGGGCTTGCTTTGTGATAAAGTAAATTCACTTTGAGCTCTCTTTGCAAGAACCTTTGCTTATTGGTTTTCAAAAATGGTGTAGGTGTTGGTTGTTTTTCTTGGTGGAATCAAACTAATGCTTTGGAGATTTCTCTTGTAAACTTCATGTAAAAGAGTCACTATGAAAATGAATTCTTTTGTTGGCTTTCATGGATATTTAATTTCATATGAAAATCATCTCAAACGAATTGTTTGGTCATGGATTTTGCCATTATATAAATACACACACATACACACACACACATAGGTTTTGTTAGGGTAGTCCTATACATGGATTATTTCCTTAATGTACTCAACAATCATTGGACACTCATTACTATTGCATTGTAATACAAAATTTTTCGAGCAAGTGCTTTTTTCGTCATTAGGAGGGGTAAAATAGATATTTGTATAAGAAACTAGTGGCATTCTATTAGTGGTTAAAAAACAGTTAATTCTCCATATTGGTGATATCACACTTCATGTGGATGATGTCATTCTCCACTATAGTTAATAAACACATTTCTTTCTATCAAGAAGTTTTACTTTATCCTTGTTGAATTACCTAAAATACCTCTAAACCAGTGTTTCAAAAAGCTCTAGGCGGCACCTAGGTGATCGGGGGGGTCCAAACTGGCTAGCGCCTAGGGGGCTGCCCGGAACTTGGGCGGCCCAGTAGAAATAATATTTATTTTGGGGTTTTCTCTCTTGAAAATAGCCTCTAATGGGTTTTAGGTTTCAAATGGACCTAAAACCCACAATTTTGCCCCTTTTGTATCAAAAAATGAGCCAAAAATACCCTCAAGGAGACCCATTTCCGCCTTTGGGTGGCCGCCCAGACGGGCGCTCAGGGACATCCGCCTAGGCTTTGGCGATGCACCCAGGCCTTCTGGACAGCCCAGGCGGCCGTCCAGGTACTGGGCGGTCTGCTTTTTGAAACACTGCTCTAGACAAAAAATTTACTACATTGTGGGGTATAGGTATCAAGTATAAAAAAATGTTAACTACATTAAGAAAATACTCCATATGTAGGAATACCTTAACAAAACGAAATATATGTATGTGTGTGTACACATGTTTTTGTATATGTATATATACACATATGTATGTATGATATTTAGCCTAATCTCTGCTTGTTCAAAATGTCGTAGTTATGATAGGGTAGGGTAAGGCGATTAGTTTGCTTTTCTGTATTACATCTAGTTGCTTCATGCTTAAGGGTATTTCATGACCATAGTCTGTGTTGTTGGTAGTTCATTGTTTTATGCATGTACTTGTTTTCCTTAGTGGTAACATTCCTTATTTTTTATTGTTCTACTTATTCTTTTATCTATGTGAATTATTTTGAAAAGGAGTTGACATTAATTCAGTATATTACAGGCATGTCTAAACTTTATGTGTTGAACATCGAAGGTTGTCCTGTTACTGGTGCATGTTTGGAGACCCTTTCAGGTTCATTTCTCATTGAAATATTTTCTTCTTGATCTTCCGTATCTTGCCGACACTTGATCTTTGGAATTATTTACTTCAACACTTCATGGAAATGTTTTCATTGAACTTTGAATTTGTGATGTTTCGATTATATTTTACAATATAAATATGCATACTCTACAAATGGATGATGTTCTGCTGGTAACATACTCTTAGTCTTTATAACTGTTAGATGTTGCATTAACTATCAATCGTTTGCAGGTTGTATAGATTCTGCTTGCAACAAGGTTGTCTTAAACATGTAAAAAGAAAAATGTCCTTACTGATGTGTTCCGATGGTTTGATGTGTAGGACTTGGAGCACTTTCTTATTTGAATTTAAATGCATGTGGCATATCTGATGGTGGCTGTGAAAAGTTTGCAGGTATTGTCCTTGATATTGTTATGACACTTCTGTAAGTTGATGTCAATATGGTTTTAAATTTAAAGATATTCTATCTCTTATCTAACAAAGTACCTTATATTCCATTCATTTGCACTGACATTTTCTCTTCTTTTGAGTGCACTGCTTATCTCCTTTGTCTCACTAATATCTTCTTACTTAAATCATATATGATTTTCTGGATTTGCAGGGCTTGTGAATTTGAAATTTCTTAACTTGGGATTTAACAATATCACTGACACATGTTTAGTACATCTAAAAGGTCTGTTACCTTCATTTTTTACTATACTGTTCCTATAATTAAGCTTGTAACTGTTATAAGTTCTTATATGTTGGGTTTTTTCTTATCTACTACCACTTATAAAAGTTTAATTACTTAGAAGATGTGCAACACTCATGCTAAATATCCTAATCCACCAAGTCAGTTCTTCATATTGCTGCCACCGTCCTTGCATGTATTTAGGAAACAATAATTGCTGATTATTATGGCACTTTCATGTTGTTCAGACAAAATTGACACTTCATCATGTAATTGTATAGAGGTTGGTTGACATACCCTATTAATTGCATTTATGTTTGGAGTGTACTTTGAAGGTCTTGTTTTGAATGAAAAACTTGTTTTTGTATTATAAGTAGAACGATGTTTTGTTCACATGGTTGAATTGTCTTGTGGGGTTGTCATACATTCTTACTTATCGAAAGCCTTCTTAACAGTGGCATCAAGATTTCAGTCATGACGCTTTAGGCTTGTTAATCTTGAAGAGTTACTTGATGAACTTGTGATGGTGGTAGTGAGTTTCAGTGTAGATATTTGTTTTTGGGGTAATAATCCAATTTTCTTGATGCCATAACCGGCTGCTAGATGAGATTCTAGGATTCATTAATGGTTCTTAATCAATTCAAGTTGTGGGTGCAGAACCAATTACATATCTGTTGGCTGCTGAGTGTCAAGTATGCTTTGGCGGCATTTGCTGGCTAGTATTTGGTGCTAAATCAATGTTTTGGAGCGAGGATCTTGGTTTGATCTTATGATCTAGTCTTGCATTTCTAATCTCTAGTGGTCTCCCTCAGAACTTGTGCAAGTTAACGTATCAAGATTTTGCTCGATTGAATTGCATGGAGATCCTTGCAACTAAACCTCCACAGGCAGTTGTTTGAAGGTAGACAGAAAGGGTATCACGACAAGAACCTACTCTTGAGAGCCACTTAAAGCAGGAGCCACGTAACTCCAAGCAAGGACTGATGTCATTCTCAGAGTCAATTTTGCATTTTCTTCTGTCTCTACGTCTGCTCCTCGCAAGTCTTTAGATATGGTAGCCTTGTGCTTGCCTATGTGTGTAATAATTTGTGACCAATGGTACAATTTTACAGGTTCCTTCTTTCCTTGTTGCCCCTCTCTCTTCTTGTATGATGTTAACCCTAGTCATTTGCTAGATGCCAGCACCACCTGCAAACATTGCATAGTTAACCAGTTCACCGTCTTGATTTTGAGATTCCTCACCTTCCTTGACCCTTGTGTCAACATTCTTGAATATATCTGCTTCACCATCACACTATTAGGAGTCTCATAGTTTTTTGGGATATTACATCAGTAAGAGGAGAATAAAGTCTTGTAGGAGCCTTATCAGTATGTTACTAATCAGTTCAATTGTTTTGGACACAATAAAAAGAAATGGTTGAAAGCAACTGAAGTTCCAGCCCGCAAATGTCCTCCTGAGTCTCTCTGAACCTCTTATACTTCTGTTCAAGTCTTCCCCCTTTCCATCCACATAGACGACATGGAGTTTGTGAATGGAAGACTGCACATGGTGGAGTACCACTGTTCAGCCGATTTGTTTAAGCATTGGTTCTGGTCATAATAGCTTACTTTACCATCTGCCAATTACCTTCTGAGTTCTGGATTTGTAGTCAACTGCTCAAAGAAGCTCTTTCTTTGGCACACAACAGTACCTCAAGTATATGAGAACTCTATTTGCATGGAACCCTTCAACTGCTCTAACCACTGGGAAGGAGATATTAACATGTTGATCTTAGATTGTTCATAGTGCATATTGCTGTATGCATCCACATCTGCATGAACTCATACCATGGTTGCTTAAACTAGTTAAAATACAGCAATCAAGTAGACCAGAGATGAAGAAGAGTGAGAAATACTAAGGACTAGGAAGAGAGAGTTTTTGATATAGAAGGGTGTGTGTGTGTGTGAGAGAGAGAGAGTCACATTGAGGAGAGAATGAGAGAGAGGTTTCACGGTGGTGTCATGCTCACCCCATGACCGACTTAAAACTTTTTATAATAATAAGAAAATATTAAAGTACAATATTGCACTTATGAACGGGAAAAGACGAATATGTCCTTAAGAACTCAAATACAAGAAAAATAAATATAGACTTTGGTATCACAACACTCCCTCTCAAGCTGGTGCCTAGAAATTGTTCATACCCAGCTTGCAAAATATTTAAGATTACCTATAGTCGAGGTTTCCCAGGGGTCTTGGTAAGAATGTCTACTAGCTAGTCTTTTGTTTTAGCATATGGAAGACAAATCTCTCTTGTGGCAACTCTTTCTCGAGTAAAGTTCTCGTAAAATAATTTTTAGCTAGAGTAATTCACATGCACCATGAGCCATGGATCTATATTTGGCTTCTGCACTCGATCTAGGTACAACTGACTACATTTTCTCCTCCAAGTTACAACGTTACCTCCAACAAAAGTACAATACCTTGATGCTGATCTTTGATCCATAATAGGACTAGCCCAATCGGCATCTCTATGAGCCTCAACTCGTAAGTGGACACGATTAGCAAACAACATTCATCTACCTGGTGATGATTTTAGTTTACTTGAGAACTTTGACAACAGCCTCAAGATGGGTAGTTCTACCTACATATCTTTGAAACATTTCTTTGAAACATTACCACGTCTTTCAGAGCTTCACTTTGTTATGTAAGAGTGTCGATTTGGCTCTGAGTTTTCTTGCGTACTTAAGAAGGTCTACTACATACTTCCTTTGAGAGAGAGAAATCATCTCTCAGACCTGGCCACTTCAATTACAAGAAAATACTTCAAACAGTCCTTTGAAACTCTTTTGTTAGAAAACTCTTAAGTTGCTACCTGTTACAACAATATCATCCACATATACAATCAAGGCAATAGTGTTGGTCTTAGTATGTTTGATAAATAAGGGGCAGTTAGCATGGCTCCTAGTATGCCTATTCTTTGAACAACCCCACTAAATCTTTCAAACCACCCTTGAGAAGACTGCTTTAGTCTACATATGGCCTCTCTAAGCCTACAAACGTTTCCCTCATATCCATGAAAATGGAATCTAGATGGCCATTTACACTTCTTCCTATAATTCCCTAGGAAGAAATGCATTCTTGACATCTAGTTGGTGTAACAGCCACTCCAAGTTATTTGGCAAGGACAAAAGGACCCGAATGGAGTTCATCTTAGCCGTAGGAGCAAATGACTCATGCTAATCTATTCCACAAGCACGCCCCTTGGCAACTAATAGTACCTTGCATCTTCTAATTTTACCATCAGCAGTATAGACCTCTTTGAAACCAACCAACTTCTTCTCTTTAGGAGGGTCTACCTGTTTCTCAGTACCATTATTGACTAATGCCGTCATCTCCTTGCACTTAGTGATCTTTCCACTTGGAATGAGCGAAAGCTTATGTTATACTAAAAGGAATAGAAATAGAAGACAAAGATGACGCAAAAGTACGATAGGAAGGGGATAAAGACAAAGTTCCTAATTGGGTAGCGATGCAACTACTTCTACTGTTTTTTAGAACAACAGACAAATCTAAATCATCACACTGAGAATTGATGAGATTACCTGGATCAAAGGTAGGTAATTGGCTTGAAGGCATTGTTAGCTATGGTCGTCTCCACTTCTTTCTATTCTTGCCAATTGTAGACTTTTAGTTCTTTCTTTCTAACATAATAAGATTGCCACCTACTATCGTCCTGACCTTCAGAATTAGAAAAAATAGGGGTAGGAAGAGGAACAACTGACCTCTCTTCCTTACTGTGCTGCCTCTGAAGAGAGTTTGGAAAAGAAGGTGTAGACTCAAATAATGTTACATCCATCCAAACAAATTTCTTCCCCAAGGTCATAAAAGTTGTAACCCTTTGAGAGGATGGGTTGTAGTGAGCATTGCTTTTGACCTGTACTTCTTGGGTACATTCATACTCAAGAGAGGAGCATGATATACTTCTAGGAGGTGTCTATTCTTTTTTTCAGCTGCCCCTTTTTGTTGTCGGGTGTATGAGCAAGAATTTTGATATTTTAGTCCTTGTTCTTCCAAATAGGACAATAGCTCACCACTGGAGAACTCCCCACCTTGATAAGATCTAACCACCTTAATTTTAGTGTCAAGCTGAGTATGAATTATCATATGGAAGACCTTGAAGATATTAGGAACCTCTTCTTTGGGTTTCATAAGATAGATCCATGTACACTGAGAGTACGCATCAAAAAACTGCCAAAATTAAAAGTAACAGAAGATGGACCTCACACATTAGAATGGAGAATACCAAAAGGAATAGTAATTTATTATTATTATAATTTGTTGAAAATTGAAAGGTTAACTGTATGGTATTGCTTCAGGTGTAAACACAAAAGACCATGTGCCCTACTCGGTGGCTCACAAGAAATTGAGCGCTCAAGACAGTAGGGGCTGCAAAAACGTAAAAGGAGAGAGAGAGAGAGAGAGAGAGAGAGAAGAGAGAGAGAGAGAGAGAGAGAGAGAGAGAGAGAGAGAGAGAGAGAGAGAGAGAGAGAGAGAGAGAGACGACGTAGTAGACGTACGTAGTACGTAGTACGACGTACGTACGTACGTACGTACG